AGTGACCTGCCTTAAAAATGTGTATAATGGATGACGCAGGACAGGGCCGTCTGCCCAGAGCTACCTCTGTTCTGTGCGAGACGCGAATTGGACTGAGAGATCTTACTTTCGGTCTGTCTTAAGCTGCCAGTTGGTATTTTCCTCTTCCAAATGGCTTCGTTTAAGTCACGGTTCGTAGGTGCATAGAATTGACTGCCTTCTGTCAATAAAATTGTCATTTACCTACGATGAAGCTTTCTAAGACTGCCTATCAAAATTGAACTATCCTCTCTTTCCAAGTTGGTGGTGCGTAATACGGATTTCGCTTAGTGAATGCGCAGGAATAGAGTAGTCAAAAACGGCACGCATAAGGCGAGAAAAAATCACGTTATCTTGCTTAATGTGATGCAAGTACTGAACTATCAAGTTCCAGTAACTAACTGAGAAGCATGATTTACGATGTTAGTAAATTTCATTTGGCTCTGCCTTCCTAAGCAATTTGTCATCGAGGGTGCACCTCTGCTACGTCCCTTGGGCACCCTCTACGGGATTCTGGTCCAGGTCGGTGGGGTTAAGTCGCCAATGGGTCGCAGGGTAAAGGCCAGCTTGTATTTGCGAGTACAATCGAAAATAATAAATTGTTTGTAGTGAGCGCGTTTCTTAAGTGAAAATACACTAGCGATGCTGATTGCAATGACAAAATACAGTTTTGCTTTTTTGAAAACCATCCCACAATAAGTGTGAATTGAGACCCTTGACGCACACCGACCAGCTTGAGAATCTGTTGGCGCTGAAGAGTCATGAGGCTTTCTACTCATTTCACTCTTATTACCCCAGGCCTACTCAAGTGACTTACATTTATATTGCAATATCTAATTATACTTTCGTAATATGCCATCAAAGTTACACTTTTCTAAATAATAGATACGGCGCAAAAAGTAAGTTTTTATATGTGGGATTTAATGGAAACCTGGTAATTAATTCCATTAACATGCCTCTGGGTTCTACTGGGTTGTATAAATAACAGTTGAAATGGGCCTCTATCTCCTTTTGTGTAATTGAATGTAAGCAGAGGCCTCCATGACGTGATAGCGACGTTCAGAAGTTAATTTGACGGCACCGATTTGGTCGAACTGGATGGGGCTGAGAGACATGCTTCAGGTGGGCAGCGGCATTCACTTCAAGACTTGTCGTTCATACCTGTCTGCAAGAGGCTTCTCATTTTGCCTCACATTTATGCACATATGAAAGTGGTGGGGTGGAGGACAGTGTTGGAGGAGAGGTTGTCTGAGCAGAGGAATTCGCATAACACTAATGCTAATTAGACTGGTGTTACTTGTAGCATGACTGCATGCACAATTCATTCAGTCTTGCATTCTGCACATTCACCACTTGCCTGCTGTATACTTTCTACTATTCTAGACTCCCCTTTTCATACGTTTTTCACGCATTGGTGTCATTCGTGTAATGAACTTTTTCCCCCCACCAACGCCACTCTCCTCCAATGGCTATTTTCATCTCATTTTCATATGCCTATGAGCACAACCAGCAGTTCACACTTGCGACACATGCACATGTCACACTGGCCGTCTATTGAACCACCACCATCGGCCCTCGAATCCCAATTTTCCCACTCACATCTCACCCTTTTCCGCCCTCTCCTCCCGGCCACTCTTTGTCCGCAAGCCGGCAAGTACGGTCCGTGGGATGGGCCTTCATGCTGCCCCCCACTTCTGGCCTAGTCACGTCTTCTCGCCTCCTGCCCCAAAATAAGATGTGGTATGTACCCTCGGGTCGGCGCCCACTCCACACGTACTAGTCACCCTCGTCGGGCACTTGTCGAGTCTCCTAACCACAAGACAGAGCGGCAGCCACGATAGGCAGCCGGCTTTCGGGAGGCCAGAGCTTGAGGCGAACGCGAGAGATGGACACTTTTTGCTCAGTCACTGAGTTGCCCAAATTGTGGCCAGCTCAGCAGGGCTTAGATAATCCAATGAGTGTTTTCCCTGTCCGAATTGGCCGAATTTACATAGGGCCAGGCTTCAGGCAGCCAGCCAGCCACACTCGTATCATCCTCAAACACTTTGTTTCCTGTTCAAATGAATTTTTTTCTGAGACATTTCCCACCATCTGGCAGCAGCCCTGGGGGACAAAGAGAAGCCTACTTGACAAGACGTGTTCGTCCGAGCAACTGCAACCTCGTGCCAACACTGGTCGCGGCAATGCTGCTCTATTCTGGTCGTTTTTCGCCTCCTCCGGCCAGGTCTCCACATCTCCAGGTTGATTTGAGAATGATGGCAAGATATGCAAAAGTTAGGCGAGGAGGATAAATTTCGGTGGTATTAAGATGGCTAAATAGCCGAATATCAAATACACTTTTGAGCCGTCTCTGTTGCCCGCCAAAAGCGTTTAGGTAGAATCGTCTTGGAAGCAAGCACGAAGTGTACCATGGCCTGATTTTCACTCGCCGAATCTGGGCAGACTGCTTTCCATCTTGTCGCTGTCTCGTCGGTACATCTCTCCACCTACAGCAGTTGGTGTGTTAATGGAAAATGTCGACTTGACTGTCAAATACGTGGCGTGAAGGGACGAACTCACCTCTCTTTCGTTGACAAGACTAAGTGACACAGACGCGAAATTCACTAATCCAATGATGCACTTACGTCGACACTGGAAGATGTTCAGCTGCAGTGTGCAAAGTGAGCCGAACAATCGAGTTTGTG